AGGCTGACAAAATCTGACACAACCAGAGCTTCAGATCTTAACTGGCACTGATGAAATTTTTAATGCGACACCAATCCAAGTCCAGAAAACACTTAATGAAATAAATATGTACTCGCTTTTGGGCAGAAAATGTTTGCTTAAGAGTTATAACTGTAAATAACTGAGTAGTCCGGCTCAAAAATGCAACTAGGAGACTTTGGCAGATACCCGCATGGCTTTTGTGTAATAAAATAACCGCGAGTTTAGTAGTACTGCCTGCGAAGTATACAATGAGAGTCACCTTTCGTAGACTATTTTATGAGCCTCAAGACTTCTCTCTTTAGGAACCCGAAGAGACATTGATATGCTTTAGGGGACAAACACCGCACGCTATTTAAAAACCTTCGGAAAAAATGAAACCCGCAGTTGTGATTCAAAATATACACGAGAGGGGACACTTCTTAAAGATAAAATAATCTGCTCCTCAAGTAAAACATTTTAAGGAATCACAAGTTTTTGTAACAACAACATATTAACTGATTTTTTCACGTTTCTTTTTCTCGGAAGCGTGAAGGAATTCACACAAATATCTAGAAATATTGGGGTAAAATGCACGCTACGAAAGTAGCAGTAGTTAATTTTGTTCGATTGAAATCGGCAAATAAAAAGACCCCTAATGTCCACCGAGTATAGTGGGGTCGAGGAAGTAACTTGAGATTACTTTCTATGCCAGTCAAGCAATATTTTCTGGTTTAAAGCATGCATAAACTTTTCAGTCTGAATAAGTGAGACAGGTGAATCTAAACAGGGCTTATGAGTGCGGCTAGATATTCACAAAATCACTGTACCTTTTCTTTACTGTGGCCGTTTCAAATTAGTCTTGTCATTATGAACCACAATTCGATGGTCGTTTCCGAATATGTCCCTCACAGCAGGAACGGTGACTTACGCGTGAAGTAGTTAATAGACCTAGCAGACTTATGCAGTATCTATTGCACTCTCCTCCCTCACCCACCTGAGTCCAGTGGCATGACTCAGCCT